ACACACACAAGTTTACTTTATGCAATTTACTTTCAGAGTCAGAGGGCAGGAGCTCATCCTGGCGGGTTTCCAAGTCAAAGAAAATAAAAGCATAATCTTTAGATTTAGGTTTACCCTCATTGGGTTTCATATAACATTTATGGTTAGGATCTTTATATTCTCCACAAGGTTTACAAAATACTTCCCCACACTTGTGGGGCTTGGACCTCTCTTTAAGCAAAACTAGTTTCTCGCAGTCGAGACATTTCTTTACATGTTTACACCTATCAGCTTGATGCGCGATAAAACAGCGTTGGTTTTTATAAGTTAGATTACATTTAGGACACAAAATTCCCCCATACTCCTCTACACAAGGAGGTGAGATAGTCTGACACTGTGGGCAAATGTTTGAACAGCGATGCTCACGTTTGTGATCATACGGGATATGACAGGCATCACAAAAGAAAACACACGCAAAAGCTGCTGTCAGACTAGTAATTACATTATAGTGCCGGTTATGAAACAACAGGTTAATTTTAAACTTGGGGTTCTCTACACTACCCTCAAAGTAAACATCACGGCCTTTAGCATTGTAGTTGTACACAGTTATTTTATAATCTTTAAGCAGATGTTGAAATTTTTCAAGTTCAGGAATGCCTGCACCACCCTCAGGCATCACGACTCTAGCTCTACGTACAAGTTCTTGAGCTCTGACAGTCTGTCTTTTTCTATCATCTTGTTTCACAGCTTTGTATTCGGGATCTTTAGTTATATTAGCTATAGCCACTACAATAGCACGGGGAAGACACAAGTTATCTTTATTGTTAATTACAACAACCCCTCTCCTAGCCTTACATTCTTCATCAAATGTATTATACAATCCTGGTCTTTTGCGGCCGCCCAAACCTACAGGGAGATTAACTCGGGTACATTCGACTTGAAACGTGTCTGTGGACTTGATTGATTCAGCGTTACTTTGGACAATTCCTCCAAATATTTGCCACAAGACATCCTCGTTAACTTCATTTGCAGGGCGAAAAGCAACAAACCCCGGCTCCTTACTTTTTAGGTTAAGTGAACGCAGAGTGAATCCCAATTGATCGCCCTCCTGACAAACTTCTTTCATTTCATTTACAATTTGACCAAACCCTTGTCTTAGCCAATCAATCTCACTAGTTTCTGGTGGAGGGTTAGAAAACTTAAAAACTGTATTAATTCCATGAATGCGAAATCTCTTTACATAATTTTCATGTTTATCTAGAATATTTACAGGGACAATTACTTCAACAGAATCTTCTACAACATTTACAGGTTCATTACTATCGACAGATTCATTGGAATCTACTGGAGCAGAGTTACTTACATCCGTCATCTTGAAGCACTGGGAGCAAAGTGATGCAATAATGGCAGGGTTGCGATAAGGGTTTATATAGGAACAAGAATGACCACAAACGTGGTTATCAAAGGTGACGTGGTACACAAGAGGAAGTGATAGCTGTTATTTTAGATGATGCAATACCGCAAAAGTGGTTATCAAAGGTGGTTATCCGGTTGCGATATGGTACACAGGAAGTAAAAGTTGCTGTTTTGGATGATGCAATACCACACAAAATGTAGACATTGTACTAATTATATTTAATATTATATACTATATAATTATTATATACTAATTATGTTTATTGTTTGTTTCAGATGGCTGCCCCTCTCCTCCTCCTCTACTAGCATTAAGTATTTAGTTATAAATTATATTAGTAATATTTAGTAATAAGTTTATGTAAATATAATATAGTATAGTATAGATAAATCCATTTTTAGCTTTCACAACGGTTTTTATTATTTTCCCCAACTTAGATTACATCATAAAAACATTCCATTGATAGAAAACCGATTAGTAGGAACAGTTGATAAAAAACAGATAACACAAATCAGAGGTCATATCATATACAGTATAATCAGTAGTTGGTAAAACACAGCTACTGCTACCTAATACCACAGTTCATTTGTATAATTTACTATAGTAATTCAAGCATATCTTTATACATTTATTATTATAAACTTGGTAGAAAAACAGAGGTTATGTTACAAGAACACCTAACCTGTAGCTGGCTAGACGCCGGTGCTGTAACCTAGTAGAGAATTTGTAAACTAATACCTCAACTTAGAGTAACATACTGTTAACACTTAGTAATAAATTATTAAGTAAAAAGTGAGGTTATGTTACATATACAAAGTCACATAAGTGGCTAACTGTAGTTGGCAGCATTGGTGCTGCAACCTAGTAGAGAATTTGTAAACTAATACCTCAACTCAGAGTAATCTGTTATGATGAATCTTATATCAAGTTAATCATTATTATAATTATACCATCAACACTGGCGCTCCAGTGGTGAATTAACAAAGTGGTTTGGGTAAAAAGTGAGGTTATGTTACATATACAAGAGATCAAACCTTCAGAACTCATATACAAACAGTTAACTATACCAACAAAAAAAAACACCCCAACCGGAAATGATTGGTGATTGGTAAGGATTAAACCCATGAACCTCTAAACTAGATCACGTGATCAGCTGAAATAAACAGTTGTGATTGGTTAGGATTGAACCCATAAACCTCTAGTATAGGCTAGAACTGAACCCACAGACCTCCAACCAATACTTACACACCCTGTATATGTAAGTTACAGAGATACACATATACAAATTATAATATCAACATAACATGCTCAACAGTAAAGTTCCACTTAAGCATTATACACCATATAAAATGTTTTTTTTTACAAATCCTACTAGGATAGGATTGAACCCGTGAACCTCTAAACCAGGTCACGTGATCAGCTAATCAGCTGAAATAAACAGCTGTAGTTGGATTACATCCGGCATTAGAAATAACATGTTTTGTGTTAGGTTGGAATCAAACCGTGAACCTCTAAAACTACTACATATTTAGCATATGTTAGGATTGAACCCATAATCCTCCCGCTATAATACATAACAATTAGTGATTGGTTAAATTCGAACCCGTGAACCTCTAAAACTACTACATATTTAGCATATGTTAGGATTGAACCAATGAACCTCTCACTATAATACTATTAGTGGTTGGTTAGATTCGAACCCGTGAACCTCTAACATAGGTTAGATTCGAACCCGTGAACCTCCAATGATAGGTTAGCATTAAACCATGTTAAAATCAAACCTCCAATATTTACACACCCTGTATATAGGTACAAGGTGTCATTTACCAATATAAAACCTATACCCATAACACTGCTGTTGTAGCTCAACCAGCTAACGCATACAACTACCATTCAAAAAACCCGAGTTCGATCCTTGGTCAGGCCAACACTTTTTATCCATAATAATTTATTTAATACAAACACCTACTGACGTCACGTGGTCAGCTGTGGTTAGACCAGCTGATCATGCACAAACAGCTGAGAGTACACCTAGATCATCTCAAGGTCAATTTCTGCCCATTCCACGGTACGCCTACTCATACAACAAATGTGTAAATGTAAAACAGGTAGCATTTAAAATTATCTTTCAAACAAAAAAAAATTCATTCCGATCCGACAAATAGTTTGCGAAATGTACGATTTAAAAAAATCAATGGCCGCCATTTTGATGACGTCATAGCTCGAAAACGTACCAGGTGCGAACTTGACACCCGAGTGGAAAACACTTCCTAAGACACCTATATTGAAATGCAAAAGCAAAATTCTCTATACACGACATGCACACAGAACCATAGTCAGGTCCTGGACTATTAACTGCTTCTATCTAAAAAAATCCAACTGTATGTATGCTTGCTTGCTTGCACCAAGATCTCGCAAACAGTTCCGATGATTTTCTTCAAATGTTGTAAATAGTTTATTCCTGGCCTAAAAACAAGTTAACTGCAGTTAGAACTGCCAACAAAAATCTAATTATGTAGAAAAATTAAACTGAAAGTCACATTTTATAACATTAGTCTTATGGGTTTGCTAAGTAACCATCTTGGCTGAATTAAATAACAAGAAAAACATAAACAAAAGACTTGTAAGTTGTCTATCCACAGTATACTAGCAAATTAAAAATAATGTAAAAAAGGAAAAACATCAGTTATTACTGTTGAGCAATGATTATACTGAAGATTACTCGATTCATTGTAGTCAAGGGTAGCAGCTTTGACTATTAATACAACTGTATCCAATAGTCAATGGTAGCAGTGTGGAGTGTGGGATCTGTTTATGACGATTCAATTACGGTATCTGCAATCCTTAAATGCTATGGGCAGGAAAGGAAACAGGTCCGTGACGTAGGAAGTGATGAAGGAAATAGTAAATACGAGCAGTCCAGAGCCTTTGTGAAGATAAAATGTTTGAATGTTGTTTGGCCAAGTTTCAGATAGGTAAATTAAAATTTATAACGGCAGCAGTATATTAGAACACATAACTTCCAAACAATAGAATTTCTCAATAGGCTCGATAAACTGATTACTATACTGTTAAAAAAATAAAAATTGCTGGAGATTTTAATAAAAATATTTTACAAAGCTCTACGGAATCAGTGGAATTTAAAAATGTTCTTACTCCGCATGGCTTAAGCTAGTAGAATTTCTTACCAGAATAACAGCTAATTCAGAATCCGAAATGGATAACTTTTTAACTAACACTGATGTCAATTTTCTTCAGATAGAAGGTTTAGTAACTGGTTTGTCTGATTTTCACCCCAAGCTGTAAATAAAACATGTGATTGGAATTTCTTCCATTTGTTTTGATTTTCTGTTTATATTTTGTTGTTATTTCATCACCAACCTGGCAACCCATAAGACCCATGTTAATTTTTTAAAATTTAAAATTCATTTTTGTGCTTATTTTTTTAGTATATTTTAATTTATAAAGGGATTCTATACACCTAGCCTACAGAAAAATATCTTTCAAGCAATATGCGTAGATTTTCCCTGTGATGCACATGAGCTGAGAAAAAAGGTTTTAAAGAAACATGCTTGCCTATTAAAATATAGAAGATGTATTTAAGTACCTCCAATTTTGAATCATCAATAATAGAGTGTCTAGGCATATCATGTGATGGGAAGTGTTTTAATGAGAGTTTATGAGTTAATGAGAGCTGACAAGACATTTAACACTTGTAGAAAGTTTTTGTAAATTCTTCTTCTTTAACTTCATCAATCTGTTGTTCTATCGATTTAAGAGTTTTATTGACTATTTCAAGCTGCTCAAAGGAACTAATTCCGTTAATGATATGTAAAAACCTATTACTGACTTCTTTTTTCACACTTTCTAAATCTACATTTGTTATTTTTGAATCTTCGGAATGAAGAATGCACTCATTGTCTAATGAGTACTCTTTTGTAATGTTGCGTAAATCTTGCTTTGTCAATACCTAGATGTTTTCTTTTTATTTGATCACCAACTGACTCTCTAACATTTTCTAGAATGGTGTCAAAGGGAATTTTTTGAGCAATTGTTGAAGCTAATTCCTTCCTATCACTCAATGGCAAAGGAATGTGGGCTAACTCTGCCTCATGGCCAACATGTGTCTCACAAAATCTGACCTTAATTATTCCACTACTTTCAAATTTAGCTGATATCTTTGCTGGGCAGTAGGCATTAATTTTACATGACCCTTGGGTTTTTAAGCATCTTTTTCTTTTAGACGGTGAAGATTGCCCTTTGAAATTACCCGATCGATTACAGTGGTACCAAATAGAGGTAGAACCATCATTATTTTTCCCGTTTCCTCTATTTTTCACAAATAGACAATTTTGTTCCCCTTCTACACTGTTTTTCCATTTTTCAAATTCATTAATGTTGTTGAAATCAACTTTAATTACACTCAAAACTATTTCATGATGAGTATTTAGATGATTTTCAAACTCATCACTACTCCGAAGAGTGTTTCTGCAAAGTCCACATGTTAGAGAGAGAGAGGATTTGACAAGCCTACTTGTCTCATATCCCGGATGTAAATTTTTATAGTGTCTTTTCAGATTATAATTTGAGCCAAATTGTTTATTGCACAGCTCACAAGTGAAACAAGGAGCCATTTCACTTATGTCAACAGCTCAGAAGATGTTGAAAACCCTCATCAACACAGACACCAATGCACACTGCAACAAAAATTATAATTATTGTTATAATTTTATTGTTAATTATTTAATTGTTGGTTAGTTATATTAATATTATTGTTGGTCAGATGTTAGTGTTATTGTATGTTAAAATTTATTGATATTTTTTGTCAGTATTGTTGTTGTTAAGGTCATGTAGTGCTGTTTTCCTGGAAACAAATAAATTTAATTTCAATCAAAAGATTTCTTTAGGTAGAAAACTCAAACAGTCATTAACCTTTACAAATGAACTAGCCTTTTTTTAATCCTTTATTCTGCACAGCATCAAAGATTTAAGATAACACAGGGTGTCCCGTAACCCTCTGGACGCATATATAGCGTTATTGCTTAGAGGTCAAGACAAACACATTTCACCGGACATGGGTCTGTAGTGCCTAGTTTACCGTCTGTCTGTATTTATGTGTTTTTTTACAAAAGAATAACTCCTAAACCGTTTGAGATACAGCGTTGAGATTTTGTAAAAATGTTTAACTTATTAAGACCTATTTTCGTTTAAAATTAGGTATACTAAAAAATCATGAACCGTTTCAAAATGGCGGCCATTTAAAAGATTTGATGCCAAATTTCACGAAAACCGTTAACTTTATAAAATAATTCCAAGAGACAAAAAAGTTAGTAAATTTTATGTAGTTTTCAATGATACTTTATTCGTTTAGAATGAATAAATAATAACAGAAAAATGTGTTCTTTTTGTAATGCATGACCTTTTTACTCCATTTAAAGAATGCTAACACTCCTTTTAGACTCGTCACACACTGCGTCCGGTCCGGTTAATTCTGATCTGGTGTTTTTCGCAGGATCCGGCAATTTTCCACACACTGCATCAGGCGTTCCAGTTCCGGCGACCAGTCTATGCGAGGACAGCGGAACTGTGAGTTGATCAAGTGTTTAACCAACAACACATTAGTTAGTATTAACACAATTCCCCTAAAACAATGAATGACAGTGACAGTGTATATAAATATTAAATAATCCTTCAGAAATATTAAATTTAACTAGCACAATGAGTTTCTCTTCTAATGACATTTTGTAACAAAACGTACAGCCTAAACAATCTCCACAAAACCACGTATGCTGCTACTGTCACTGTCACGTGGTGAGTAGAAGTCGTCTCCGCATGCGCGAGCTCCCCGGCGCCGGAAGCCATTATTTATCATTATTTATCATCTGAAATAATTTTACCGGACCGCACCTGACCGGATGCAGTGTGGGGACTTCCATTTGAATTAATGGTTTTCAAATGGTTTCCGAATTTATCTGATCCGGCATGCCTGATCCGATTTTACCGGACTGGACGCAGTGTGTGACAAGCCTTACATTGCCTAAATATCTTTAATCATCTGTTATACGTCAATCAGGAGTATAGAATGATGAGTAAAAAACATTTTAATGTAGCAATAAAACTGTAAGAAAAACATTTTTATGACTTTTTACACTATTACTTAAGTTGTATAACAAATAGAAAATGTTATAATAAACAATACAAATATGTAAGTGATGTGGATAAAAAAAGACTTACTTTTTGTACATATACAGTACGGGTACCTACTATCGTATATTAGAAAAACATGTTAATATTGTATGACATAAAAACATGTATGGTCTAATGAAAATAATCATTTGTTACAAGGACAACTCATTGGATCAAAGCTCTTAGACAAAAATTGCATCAGTGTATGAGATAAAAACACCTATGGTCTTATTAAAAAAGATAATTTTATAAGGACAACTTGCTTTGTCAAAGCTCTAGGAAAAAATTGCGATAGCGTTTGAAATAAAACACCTATTGTCCAATGAAAATAAAAATCATTTGTAAGAAGGACTACTCATTTTGTCAAAGCTCTTTTTTTTCTTGAAAAAAAAGTTCCCGAACAAACGCACCATTAGGTCTGTCCACTAAATGTTGTTCCCTGTCCTCCCTCTCAACACTAGCCAACAGTCTCGCAATTGGTTCTTCTTAATCCATTTAATAATATCGCTAAATAAGGAGAAACACAAGGGCGCACAAGGAACTAGGCTCCAGGAAACCCGTTACATCACAGGACGCACACAGAAGCTACTTCCAGTAGTGACGCGAACCACTCCCCAAGGTCGACTGACAACTGGGAAAGGAGTAAGAGTAGACAAACCCGATTCTGCAAAAGAGGTGTGTGAGGTAAATTAGGCGACAGCCCTGCAAACACATGTGGTTTTTATAACGAAAAAAGTAGTGACCTGAAGGTAACTTCCATGCGCCCGATGGAAGTTTAAAAATAACAGTTGATTGAATAGTTTGTTTTCGTTATTTATTTATTTATTGTATTGTTGTCCATACATGTCTGAACGGGGTATCGGATTTTTATACCCTTGGAGTTTACTCTGGGCAAACGTGACGTCACAAATCAGGGGGTAAAATTCCGGTTACGAACTTTTGAGTTTTGCGACATCAGTTTGATGGATTAAACATGGAATCAAACGCATATTTTCACGGTTGTGAATTTAATCAGAACACATCAAATAATAAAAACCTAGAGTGTACGGGGCGGAATATTACCCCCGGACTTTTACCCCCTTCATGAGGTCAGCTCAAAATGTACGGCCTAGATTTTTACCCCCGGAATTTTACCCCCTGGCCAGATATATAAATAATTAGTGAGAATGGTTAATTATCTTCATTCGGTTTTAATTTAATAATAAATATTTTATTATTAAGTAGCCTATCATAATTTAGGCCTATTCATAACATCAACTAATCGAACAGGTTTTTAATTGTAATTTTGAGATCCGAGAATCAGGATTCGATCTATGAAGCCAACTGTTGGTTTATATGACGTATCAACAAACATCTAAAAAGTAATTGTTTTGAAGATTTTTTTTACGATTTATTATACAACCATGGTAAAACAATGTTTTCTTTTGTGTTATCGTACTACAGAAACTAAATAGGCCTACATTGTGTTTCACGGTGGTACAATGAAATCGCTTAAGAAATGTTCACCCAATTATCATTTAAATGAGCTACTCAGTTTATTTTAGATACTTATAAACCAACAGTTGGCCCCAAACGCAAATCCCAAACATCAAAATTAAACAGCAAATTCGGTTTACTTTGTTGAGAGGACAAAATAAATAAATAAAGATAGGCTACTTAATAATAAAATGTTTACAATTAAATAAAAACAGAAATAAGAAAATCAATCTTTCTTAATAATTTCTATATCCGGCTAGGTTGTAAAATAACGGGGGGTAAAAACCCGGCCCATACATCTTCAGTTCTCTAAATGCTAGTTATATGGACAGGGGGTAAAATTCCAGTTTTTATTGCTAATAATTAATCACACTCTGTCTATTTTCATTAGACTTCCAAATCCACTGGGGTAAAATTTCGCCCGAGAAGAAACTTTTGAGTGCTCAGGTTACTACGTCATAGTGACATCAGCTTTTCCCAGGGGGTAAAATTCCAGGGGGATAAAATTCCGGCGACCCGTCTGAACACCGAATGTCTCATCGTTAGGACATTGCCTGTTCGGATAGTGATCTGCATACAATCTCTCCGCTCCTCTTGCACTGCCATGAACCATTCCAAAAAAAGACCATATCACGGTACTCCTCTGATGTGTTTGCTTATATTCAGTAGGCTACTAAACAGCCAACTTAATAACGTAAAAACACAATAAAAAATAAACACAATCACTTTAACTAGGTTGTAAGAATCGTAAGCCACTAAACTTAGTAAAGACTTAGTAATATTCAGACAACAATACTTTCATGACAAGTAAAAAGTCAACCTTAAACGGTCATTCACTGGTGCACTCACCCTAGCCACTGGGCGACAAAATCTCAGCACTGGGCGACACTTAACACAGACAGTTAACATGTTATTTTATGCCCTGGAACATCGGTCTGTGGTGCCTAGTTTATCGTCTGTCTGTATTTATGTGTTAAAAAAACTTAAAAACGGTTCGAGATACAGCGTTGAGATTTTGCGAAAATGTTTATCTTATTAAGATTTATTTTTGGTTAAAATTATACTAAAACTAAACCGTAAAAAGTAAACCGTTTTAAAATGGCCACCATTTTAAATATGTTATGCCAAATTGTGCAAAAGTCGTTAACTTAAAAAAAGAAATTTCAAGAGACAACAAATTTTATAAATTTTATGCAGTTTTTGATGATACGTTAGAATGGATATAAATAAATACAGAAAAATGTGTACTTTTTGTAATGCATGACCACTTTTCTCCATTTAAACAATTCTTACTCCTTTTGACTGCATTTTACTTTAGGTCCTACACTCATTCGAACGAAAATATCGATCGATATATCGATTATTCGATAGGTAATTAACCTCATTCGACAGTTAACCTAACCTAACTAACCAAACGATATATCGAATGAAACAATCGAATAGTCGATATTTTCATTCGGTTGTTTGTGTAGGACCTAAAGTAAAGTGCAGCCCTCCTTTTACATTGCCTAAATATATTTAGGGCATTCATCTGTTATACGTCAATCAGGATTTTCAAAACATAACAGCTGATTGAATCATTTGTGAAGTGATTAGGAAAATCAACAATTTGACACCATCCTGCAATCAGCACAATATGTGGGCTTACACAAGCATGGAATAGGGCCTACTCCTGGCTGTATTTTTGGGTGAAAGAAAGTAAACATTTTAATGTAGGCCTATGCAGACGATGTAGTTCTGCTAGCACCGACTGCCACAAGTTTACAGTTTATGATCAATAATCTAGAAAAGTATTGTGATACATGGAACTAACAACTAAATCTAAATAAGTCAAAAATTATTGTTTTTAGAAATGGAGGTAAGTTAAAGGAAAACGAAAAATGGACTTTTAAAAGAAGAGATATTGAAGTAGTGAACAGTTATAAATATTTAGGGGTAGAGTTAACTTCCAAGTTAACGTGGGAACATCAGATGAGCTCAAAATCAAGAAGTGCAAAGTTAGCAATCAATAATATCTCCGGTATAAATTCTTTGTCAGTAGTAGAATTTCGTTGGAAAGAAAGTTTAGTTGCTTTAATGCGGTAGTTAAATCAATTCTGTGTTATGGCTGTCAGGTTTGGGGATATCAAAAGAATGATAAAATTGAAGGGGTTTTGAAAATGTTTATTAAGAAAATCTTTCAATTGCCTAATAATACACCTAATTATGCGCTATATTTAGAAACAGGAGCAGAATCAGTATATTTGTACACTTTACATAGTAATCTAAATTACTTAGTTCGAGTCTTATCCCTTGCTGAAGACCGGTTACCGCATATACTGGCGAAACAGGTAATTGAAAAGAATGTGTATTGGTGTGAAGAATGGCGGAAGCTAGGGCGCGCGCATGGCGTAGTGGTGGAAATGGATACTGATCCGGTAAGTATACAATCGGCATTGTTAGGTGTCCTAGAATCAGTCAGAGAGGCAGAATATCGGGCGAATTTGGAAGCGGCTTTAGGATCGCGTTATCACCAAACATATGCAACCTTGAACTTGGAATTGGGTAACTCGTCCTATATCAATGCTAATTTATCTCTAAGGGCGATAAAATGGATTTACAAAGCACGAGTTAGAGTAATTTATCTAAACTACAAGCCTTGGATAGGTGATCAAAATTACGTGTGCAGTTTATGTAATTTAAGGGAAAACGAGGATGTATTTCATTATATCTGTAGGTGTCCAATCCTTGCAGGTGTAAGGAAACGTTTTCTTAAAAAAAAAGAACTTACTAGGGAAGATTTACACTCATATTTAAATGGTAGGGACTGGCGAAGTCTAGGATGTTATTTAATTAATGCATGGAAATATAGATATGAGCTTGTGTCAGAATTTAATTTTGCATAAAAAAACACAAAAATACATTGTTTGCCATCCTAACGTGTTGCAGGGAATAATGGAAAATAAGGAGAAAATAAAAATATTTTGTATGAAAGCTGCCAGCCCAGCTGACAGTCCTTTGGGCTAATGCTGATATAGTGCAGTTAAAAAAAACAAAATTATATTAAGGTAAAACACGATAGAATAAAAGTGATTCAAGGTTGTATGTAGATATTTTCTTTGTATATGGAAGAGTTATTTATGAAAAAATCTTATTATTTTGTAATGCATTGTTTTAATGAAAATAAAGCACTGGTTTCATTTCATTTCATTATTTAGGGCATTCATCTGTTATACGTCAATCAGGATTTTCAAAACATAACAGCTGATTGAATCATTTGTGAAGTGATCAGGAAAATCAACAATTTGACACCATCCTGCAATCAACACAATATGTGGGCTTACACAAGCATGGAATAGGGCCTACTCCTAGTCCTAGGCCTAGGCCAACACAAAATAAACACCCCCTAGAGGACTTCAGACTTCTTACCCTTTTGTTATATTCTTTCTTACTAAGTTAACATGGACGATTTTTATTACTTCTTACTTTATTCTAACTAATTGAAACACATTAAATAATGAATCGTAGTCGGTTTTAATTTAAAAAACCTTAAAAACAAGAACTCTGACCTGAAATAGAAAATAGAATATGATAAGTTAATAACAATATCATCCAACCAACCAAACAGCAAACAGCCTCAAAACAAAAGTAAACAAACAGAAACAAACCACGTCCCACGTCCACTCCAGAGTCCAGAGGCGAGCCTTTCAAGACCGGAAAATGCCGCGCTTCTGCGCATGCGCTAGTAACTGGTGGCGTAGCAGCAGCTATTTCAGAAAGTCACGGTCACTAACCACTAACTAGCGTCGTTGTCGTAGTATTTATCTTGACTGCACTGCAACTGCAACTAGTTCCTCATAATTATTATTCATATCGTTTGTTATTCTTTATGTTATGATCGAGTTATGTCTGAGTTGAAGTTGGGGTTAGTTATTGATAGATTTTGATTGCTGCTGTGTTGCGGAGGTCATTTATCATCGATGATTTTGTGCTCCTTCTTCAATGCGAAAATTCTGAGAAAAACGAGTAATGGAAGACATCAACACTGGAGTACTTTGTAGTTTATGTGGAAAAGTTTATTTTTAGTTTATGGACGAGAAGTACAGAAGGATTCCAATTAATGAGCCAGCTATGTTCAACAAGGCAAGGCCAATAAAATAATTTGTTTTATTCACTAGCGCTTTTGAATGGAAACCTAGTTTCTGAAAGCGCTAGTGAATAAAATAAATTATTATGTATTAGCCTTGTTGAACATTTACATTTAGTTATACATTCCATTATAAGCAAGATGCCAATAATCCTCAAAAAGCTTAGACCATTAAAAATTAAATGAGAATTGGGATCTTCTCTTTTGGAAAACATGTTTGGATACAATTGAAGATAGATAAATAGATGATAACGGTAACGTAGCCCACAGAAGTTACTTAAAATTTATTTTATAAAATAAAGGAGGTGCCAGAGGTTACAGTAAGTAAAGTAACACATACATAAACATAATCTGTAAAATTCTTCATTCAGTTACAGTAATTAAATGGTTTGGAGTTTAGCGCGGGAGAACCGTTCCAGTTTCAAGTAGATTGTTGCAAGAGTTGCAGTGGAGATACTAGTGTGATTTTCTGAAACAGCTGCAGCTGTTACAAGTGTTACGAATAACGCTTACTTGCGCATGCGCAGACGCGCGGCATTTTCCGGTCTTGAAAGGCTCGCGTCCAGCGTACATGTTTTCGGATAGCCTAGGGTTCACTACGATACTCGGACAGAATACGATTGAATCGATCTATCGAGAGTCTGCAATTTCACTATCGATATTGAATTGTGTACACTATCGATATCGGAAAATCGGATTCGAGTTTGTTGTTGGATCTGAGTCTGTGAGTATTAAGTTTTCAATTTCAATCGGACTCAAATCATCTACTCAATCCACCTCTACAACCTAACTGTACAATTTGTTTTTCAGGATTAGTTTTGCCGACGGTGTCATTTGGAGGCTTGGAGGCTGATTGACTATAATGAAGGTTTACTAATTGAAAAATTAGTTTTGTTCGTAAAATAAAATTATAAATGCCTCAAATTCAATTTTATATTTTTTATCATGAAATTAAACGGTCATAACCTAACCAAACGTGCTGATAATGAAAAAATCTAAAGGTTTATCAATCGAAAAAATAGTTCTGTTCATAAAATAAAATAATAAATGCCTCAAATTCAATTTTATAGTTTTTTAATTATAAAATTAAACTATCATAGCCTAACCAAACTTGCTGATAATGAAAAATCAAATTAAGGTTTAATAAAAAAAATATATTTATTTCTGTTCATAAAATAAAACTATAAATGGCTCAAATTCAATTTTAATTATAAAATTAAACTGTCATAACCTAACCAAACTTGTTGATAATGGAAAAATCCAAGACAAAAAATTAGTGATACGGGTAGGATTCTAACCCGGCACCTTCGGCTTATCAGCCCGGCACTCTATCCACTACACCACCGAGGCCTGTTATGGTCCTCAAAATATGAAAAGAAGTGCATAATAATACCAAATGTTTAATAAGGTGTATAATAATTCTAAACAAAATAATACAACCCCATTGTTGGTTTTCAATTTTAATTTTTAATTGCTGTAACAGTTGCAGTTCAAGTTAAAAGCCTTTAGCACCATCTGTTCAATTCATATACAGTAGAACCTCGATAACAAGTCAACCTTGATAACAAGGGTTATTTTCAAATCCCCTTGGAATTGTTTTACCCCTAATCATATGTTATTGCAAACCTCGATAAGAAGTCAACCTTGATAACAAGTCTTATTTTATAATCCTTATAAGTCTTGTTATCAAGGTTCTACTGTAAATTATAGCCTATACCATAGATAAAACATACTCCCTTAAGACTTGCGCTGCTTAGTTTAGTCTATGCCTATACACATATAATTCAAAGTCAAAATTAAGAGTAAAAATAATCCAATTATGATGAAATTTGTTACAAACGTGTAAAACAACGTTTGTTGTAGTGTTCCGTTAGCATAATCGGACTATGAGCAGAGGTAAAAATGCTGGGGTTTCCTCATGTTTGACCTTATAAAAACTTCAAACATCTTTGTAAATAATTCATTAATGTAAAAAAAAAACAAAATTATCAAAAAACATGAAAATAACTTGTTATTTTGAAGTAGATTATTAGGTAAACTTGTTGGTTCTATTTTGGCTTGTTTGTGGATATTTGACTTTAATTTTTTGTACAATTCAATACCAATCTAAGTACATTTTACCGAGAACACACTTTACCTTCCCTGTATCTTATAACGCTATATCAGCAAACATAAATATTTTAAAACAAGAGAACAAATCTTACATTGAAATGGGTGATGAGTATACTACACTTTTCAGTACCTACCGAGCTTACAAGGCAATTAAATATTTTTTAAATATTTTATTGATGGAAAGACTTATTTCAAATAATTATATTCCCACTTGGTGTGGACAATTTAAGTTTTGTTGACTGATAGGCCTACTATGATTAGTGCACTTTATAATCAAGCTTCAACTTTGTACTTGACTGTGTGGTAATTTATAATAGAATATATATAAAAGATAAATAAAATAAATAACTAAGATGTTTTTGTAAATAATTTAAATTATATATAGTTAACACAAAACGATAAGAGAGTATTTTAGTATTTGTTTTGATAAAATAAGTAAAATATCAATAGGGTTATCCCAATCGAGAGGGCTCTCAATTAATTATTTAGTTTTTATTATTATATAAAATAGTTTTTCTATCATTTGTGTTCACTTATTTACATTAAGGACAAGAACACAAGAATGCAATACAAGAATACAAGAGTACTTTATTTTACAATTTTTAAGATTGAAAAAGGCATCAATACAATATGTTATCGATTAAAAATCTTTGTTGATTGGAGTAGTTGCAGTAGAAAGATGATTTAACTTGTAACGTAGTCACTCTAGTTGCTGCCAAGACAAATATTCATCAATGCTATAGAAAGGTCTAAGTAACAGCACCTGTGATGTTCCTTCTTCAGTCTTCTAGAACAGAGAATGTTTACATGTTATTAAAATAAGGAGGCTCGTGTAGGATGAATGAACAATTCTCCTCGGCTAGACTGCAATGTTAAAACTTTAAAGTGTCTATTTGGGTTGAATGGAGCATGTTCTCGAGAAATTAACATTTGCAGACAAACTAATGCTAAAATTCATTGAACATCCACAACATTTTATTCACTTGTATTTAAGTAGGAGTTAGATAGCAGTTTTCTAAATTAACATAATTTAATTAAAATGCCCCTTTTGACCAGATTTATTTCTACCTCAAATCATGGTTCTCTCAGTAATTAACAGATCAACTTCACTTTTTTTATGAACAAAGACAGCTTATGGTTTACAAAAAATATAACCCATGCCTATTTTAAAATCAAGACTAATGCAGGTTTTTTTTAGCAATAGCAATGGTTTATCTGTATTAGGCTTAAGCCCAATTTTGATTTTAAATAGTGCCGCAGATGCTTTTATTTATGATCACATTACCTTAATCAAATACCTATATTTGCATGAAATTGGTTAAAGCTTATATGCCTATTCTACCAATGTTGCTGTCCCGTTATATTTTATCTTCCAACTAAATTAATTCTCAATTTTTTCCCACATTAAAATACTATAATCAGGGGTGCCCACAAGGGGGGGCCGTGACGCAGACTGCGTCATTGAAATTCTTGGGGGGGGCTCAAAAAATTCAAATGGGGGGGGAGGCTAAAGTTAATTGCAACAGTGTTCAACGTGACGACAATCCAAAATTCATTACGAAATCGCCAGATAGAAAGTGGATAAGACAATAGTTATATTATTGAATTAAATTAGTTAAAATAGGATTTTAGGATGGTTTAGGATTCGTGTAGAAAGTTATTATTTAAGATTAGCAAGACGTGAGATCTAAGAGAGGGAGCGCACGGGATGGCTCAACTGCTGTGATAGATAAAAGATAACGCGTGGTACAGACAGCTACACAGCAGAACGCTTTGTTGACATAAAGCTCGTTAAAATGCAATCAAGTAGCAAGTACCATAGGCTACAATACTTTACACTATTGTGTATACTCGATTACCTGAGTTAATAGGGAGAGGGGGGGGGGGGGAATGAAAAATACGGTTAATCCAATATAGTATAAAAACAGATGACAAACTCATTAAAACGCTGTAAACAGCCATTAAGTCACGATTTACATTTTTATAAACGAAATTCAATATTGCACAATCATTATTATTGTAAATTTCAAATAATTTATCTTGATTCAGTTGTACAAACGGCTACGTTTAAAATTGTAGCTAACTCAAACTCAACTAATCACTAGCCAAACATTACATTGCTATAAATAACGTAAATATTAAAGGAACCTTTAGAAAGTGTTATAAGGTACTGCTCATGGTAGACAGATAGGCTACCGATAGGTGCTGTATCACAGCATAGGAATTGATAGATAAGTAATAAAAAAGTGTAAAATTATATTTAGAGATAATTAAAACACTCTTAAAAAAGAATGTAACGAGAACAATCTTGTTATTCTCTTTCTTTGTTCTTCTGTTCATTAATAGGTTTCTCTTCAATTCATACACAAATTCAACAAGTCGCCATATTTAGGCCTACTCATTGGCCAATCACAGCCTTACTAAAGTTACCATGGTTATCACTCAATCACAGTGTACTAAGCATTATATCGTCATCATTCCCCAGCTGTTGTATCTGACTAAAATCTGTTGTAACATAGCGCACAGCAGACAGAAGTGTATAACGGAGCAGACGATTGTTGGCGCAAGCGTTGTTTCCATTTCATTTTCATCAAAGGAGCTGTGATGTTTCTAAAGGGAGGGAGAGGGGATCGTTATTTCGAGAAAGACGCTGACAATTCGTTATGGATAATCTGCCAATACAAAATTCCTTAAATTGTGGTGACTTATAAAACTCTAATTTTATTTATATAGAAAGATAAGTTTTCCAGTCCTGTACAACACTGATTCACGGTCTTTTCCCTGTAATCAAAATTCAAGTACAACTTGATACACACAGAATCTCCGGTTCCCGACCTGGATGATGGCTAGTTATTTAATTTAATTTACAGTTACATATTAGTACTCGTTATAAATCAAACCCGTTATGTAAGCCAAAGCGACACGGCTATTAATCTCACTTGGTTTTGGATTTGCTTACAAACGTGTTTGGAAATGGTCAGGGCCTACACAGTATTCTTAAAGAACATTTATGTAAACATATCAGTGACAGCTGGGAAAAGGAATCTTTATCAAAACAGCTGTTCGTAATTTCATATATGACGTGTTCTCTTAACAGATTATTAGTATTTCATAAATTAATGACGTATGTAGTAAACATGGAGAAAATAAACTAGAAAAATCACACAAAATTGTATTTTTGATCGTCCGTTATTTTATTTCCAAAATAGTGAGGCCATATTTTAATGGCTATAAGGACTCTCTCGCCAATCCTGTGGATACAATTAAACCATTAGAATCATAATCGGTACTCTAGTTTTCTTTAGAGTAGGCATTGAGTAGGCTGCATAAAATGCCTTCTGGGCCGTGAGAGACGGACATAAATGGAGATAAGACATGTTTCAACTTCTTCAATGTATAAAACATAAATAACCCAAAATATGTATAATTCTGAGCAATGTACAGAAAAAACTATAACTTTATTGATATAGATTAACTGGGTTTGAATTTTAAATATCTAAAAAAAATATAAAACTTCTTTTATAATTTTACAAATAGTGCTGGGCGGGGGAATAATGTTTCTCAATGATTGTGTACATCATTTATGGGGGGGGGGGCTGTTGCTCAATTGGGGGGGGGGTGCGTCATGAGTCTAGGGGGGGATGGGCACCCCTGCTATAATGCAGTGGGCGGTTCCAAGGGGTGGAGGGCTGTAGGAGCAAGAGCCCTCCCCATTAGAATCTGACTCTGGAAATATAAGTTTAAACATAAATTTTGTCATAAATAGGTGACAGAAGTTTTGGAACACAGTCCGAGACGTAAAAACAGTTTTAAAAATAGCAGATTTTCCTAAGGTGAACCCCTGAAACCCCCTCCTAGTGTTAATCACCCCTGATAGCCCTTCACAACGTTCTAATCTAGAACCACCACTAATATGACAACCCTACATGGGATCAGAGGCTGTATAGAAAATGTTACTACTATAAATTAACAATTTAAACAAATAAATGTCTTACCTGTTCACCGCTGGATTTATTTATTACGTAATAGAGAGATCTGTGACCACACTCCAATGCATTTGACGAATGTTGGTTAGAGGTACGCAAACTTGAAATCTGACTAGGCCTAGAGTCGGTTGATTAGGGTATGAACCTGCAAAAACATTAAAAAGCTTATAGTTAATCAATTTTAAAACATCAATCTACAATTCCAAAGAGAATAGCTAAGATATTATCGATGGAATAACTTATTACATAATATAGCCTAAACTATCGAATAAACTTAAAAAATATAGTAAGTTTAATCAATAGCCTATTTAAGTTATGTAGGCCTATAAGTTATTGAATTTCAATATTGATTTGATGTTAACTTATGAGGATTCTCAAGTAGATTATCGCCATTGACTATAATATATAAGTTAGGCCCTACCTAGGTAACTTGTATGTAGTAGGTATATATACTTAACTTAGTCAATATTATCGCCCACCAATCTATAACAGTGTGCTGTATCTTTAAAATTAACTTAACTTAGGTTAAGTAGCTAACAAAACTTACAAAAAAGGATACGATTACAAATTGAGGTCCAAGTGTAAATTTATTTGTTTAAAAACAATTACTAGATATAGCATACTTATCAACTCTTGTGTGTATACAATTTACTTACAGTAGGCCTTGTTTGTAATTATCTAAAACTAACGTACCGGTAACTTGAACTAAGCCAAAGCGAAATGTTAGGGTAGGCCTACTTTGGTATTATCCGGAGGCCAATTATTTTAGAGAGATTTGTTACTGGAGAGTCCAAAAATAACTACATAGGCTACTGTAATAGGAAAAAACCTGCTTTAATTGACTGACTGTCCAAATTTGACATGATTACAATTAGCGGCCTTTGAGTTCTGTCTCCCAGAAAAAAAGGCAGCGATGTTGGCGAGGATTGAGTTGAATGCGTCGCTGCCGCTATACTCCGCCAAGTAGGTATGCAGCACGCTGCGGCGGTCATGATAGGTTGGATTATCATAAATATGTTTATAAAACTTTCCTCGTTTCGTTATGAATTGAACTATACCAAATGAGTCTTACTTTTGCCCGCCAAATACCCCAGATACAGGTGGTAACAAGTGATGAATGCTCCGGTCAATGACCTGGCTAAGTACTTGAGGGGATATGGCGTGCAAAAGTAATTTATGACTCATCTGGTATTGTAAGATTCATAAAGAAATTAGGAAAGTCCTGCAAACAAACATATTTGTGAAAACCAAACCTAACATAAGTACTTAACTGCGCTGTGTAAGGGTGGCCTCCGGATAATACCAAAGTACCCAACTTAACCGCCACAGCACGTGTTAACGAGTCTTTTTGAAAAGCATAAATAACTTAAATAATAAGTTATTCAAGTTATATCAAGTGAAAACTTCGACTGATAGGCCTACGATAGAAATATTAAACTGAATTTCCATCTGATAGTAAGTTAAGTTAGGCCTAGGCTATAAGTTAGGTTCTCTACAGACTTGTAGGCTACCTATCGATTCAATCGCTCTGACAACTGCAAAAATTGCAACTAAGCAGCATCTTAGGAAACGACTTAAGTTAAGTTAAGCTTTCATAACTTTAATGTTCTTAAGAAACCGATTAAATCTTACTGATAATCCTAAAAATGTTTTCAAACTTCATCAAGTCCCTACGTTAACCTTATTAGGTACAATTACTTACCTTACCGCCACTCCTCAGAATCTTCTGATTAATACTTTCAAGGCTTAGAGGTTAATAATCTAAGTTAATCTATTTAATTTTAGTCAATTATCAAATCAAGGAGACAATAACATGAATGGATTTATTAGGTAACTTAATAGCCACGAATACTTAAAGTATTCGTGGTAATAACATATTTCTACCTGTACTTCTCGTGGAAAAAGCAAATCAGTTTGATGCCAGACAAACATACCTAATTGGTCAAATTCTTCCCTTAACCTTACATAGCCCCCGACGAAATCTCCTTGGCGTATAACAATTTAAATCTGTTATATGTGTGTTGCACAAGTTTCCATCTCTTTTAAAGTTAATTCCATTTTAAAATCTAATTTACGTGTATCGTGTACCTGGCCACCTCCAACAACTATAAACTATTGCACACAAAAATGACAATGTCAACAATAACAACATAACACGTTAACGTAAACAAACAAACATAGGATACGATACGAGACGAGATACGATGATTCCACCGATGATTCCGTCGTCATAGAACCGATTCGACTTCGACTTCAGTAAGAAAGAAATATCGCAGAGTCACGATTAGATCGATTCAATCGTATTCTGTCCGAGTATCGTAGTGAACCCTAGGCTATCCCATGTTTTCTGTGGTCCATTCCATAAAGAGTCAAAACAGGAGTCATTCAGTCTAGTCTAGTCCGTCCGAGTCCGAGTCTCGACGGTCTCGACTATAGATGCGCGATTGCGAGATGTTACAATCGAAACTTTTCGATTGTTTGAACCTCTCGAGACGTTTCGATTGTATTTTTGCTTAGCGAGAGGTTCTTACCGAGAGGTTTTACCGAGATGTTCGTGACGATAGTTTCGTTTCAGCACGGCTTCTCTACTCTCGTATCTCGCATTCGTCTAAAGAACCGAGAGGCGAGAGGTTCTTACCGAGAGGTTTTAACGAGATTTTCGTGACGATTGTTTCGTTTCAGCACGGCCTCTCTTCTCTCGTATCTCGCATTCGTCTAAAGAACCGAGAGGCGAGAGGTTTTTACCGAGAGGTTTTACCGAGATATTCGTGACGATTGTTTCGTTTCAGCACGGCTTCTCTTCTCTCGTATCTCGCATTCGTCTAGAGAACCGAGAGGCGAGAGGTTCTTACCAAGAGGTTTTAACGAGATTTTCGTGACGATTGTTTCGTTTCAGCAAGGATTCTCTTCTCTCGTATCTCGCATTCGTCTAGAGAACCGAGAGGCGAGAGGTTCTTACCAAGGTTTTAACGAGATTTTCGTGAGAGACAGAAGGTTCTCATAAATGTTATGTTAACAGTATTTATTTACCATTACCCATTACTTTAAAATAATTTTCTATTTCATATGTCAACAGTATATCTTGTGCATAATAGTCTACTATTCTATAAGAATCTAGAAAAAGAACTAACATCCTCGTGACAACTCTAATGAAATGTAGACAGATGCGAACAGACGTTTAAGCTTAACGAATGCAACAATCGAGAGAAAAATCTCGATTGTACAAACCTCTCGCTAAGCAATCGAAACAATCGATAAGCGGAACATCTCGAGAAGGAACATTTCGATTGTTCAAACATCTCGCAATCGCACATCGAGCCTCGACCACGGCCGCTTTTAACTCCAGGCCACGGCCTTCTTGATACTTGATACTTGTGTGCTGCGTCGTTGACCGACGCCGACAATGTCGGATAGACTGCGTTTTATATATATACAGGGTGAGTTTTTATTATCAACTATATACATATATGTTGATATATGTATATAGTGAAGTCCATGTTTAGAGGTATTACTCTTTGGTCTTTGTGTATTCTCTTTTAAGTGTATTTGATTTCCGATTCAGAATAAAATATGTCGGCTCATTAACTGCAGCCTAAATGTATTTCTGTCGATGTTAATTACAATTTATAATAAATAGTATTGAAACTTCAATTGTGTTTTTATTTAAAACATGAAACATGGTGTCTTATAAGTGGGATACAAATAAATTCAAGTGCGTGAGTAATAAATTAACATAAAAATGTGTTATAACAATGAGTGAGTCGGAAGATGAAAACGTGCTTCAACAAACTGAACAAAGGACTGTGTCTAGAAAAACTGAAAATTTCACAATGGTTCCATGCAATCTTCAGAATTTTAATTTCGAGGGCAATTTAGCCGAAAATTGGAAGCACTGGTATCAGAAATTTGAGATTTATCTCTTGGCTTCTAACCTAAATTCTGAAAATGACGCTAGGAAGGTTGCTCTACTACTACATAATTTGGGTGACAAATGCATAGACATTTTCAATTCGTTCAACCTCTCATCCGAAGATGCAAAAAAGTACGACGTGGTGGTAAGTAAATTTGAAAACCATTTCTCGCCTAAGAAAAACCTCACGGTTCTGAGACATAAATTTCTAAATAGGAAACAGCTGCCATCTGAATCCATCGATAGTTTCTATACAGACTTAGTTAACTTGAGCCTTGCTTGTGAATTTGACTCTGTCCGCGAAAGTCTTGTTTGCGATGTCTTAATATCAGGGCTTAACTCTCAAAACCAGAATGTCAGGGAACGATTATTGAGAGAGCCGGAGATTAACTTGGAGAAGACTTTAGCAATCTGTAAAGCTGCTGAACTGTCTAAACAACACATCAGAGAACTTGAAGCAGAACATAATGTCCATACAGTAAACGTCCATAAGCAACGAGAGAGGGGTTACCAACAACCACAAACGTTCAGACAGAAACAGGTTCATCAGGACCAACGGAACAAATTTCATCCACCGTCACAGCAGAAATCAACTGGGACAGGTAGGCCTAACAAAAGTACAAGTGCTAAGAAGTTTATTTCAAACTGCCGTAATTGTGGGAAAAATCACGGTATTAACAAGTGCTCTGCGTATGGCTTAGTGTGCTATAAGTGCGGTAAAAACAACCACTTTGCCAGTGTATGCAAATCAGCCAAAAAGGTTTGTGAAGTAGGCCTAAGTTTAGATTCTAATTCGAGAGATGTAGCTATAAGGCAAGGTAGGCAAGACAGTTCTTCTAAAAGTACTTGTGCACAAGAATATTTTTCAATTGATACGGTATCGCTCACGTCTGAATCTATATCTAATTACGTGATTGACAAAAACTTTTTATTCAGTAATATATGTTCAGTTAATGATTCTGTTCCTAAAAATTACATGTGTAAATCCAGGGCTAATGAATGGCTAGAGAATTTGAACATTAGGGAACACACAATATCTTTTAAAATAGATACAGGTGCTCAGACAAATATCATCCCAATTGATTTGTTTAATAGGCTAGGCCTATCAAAGGCATTAATACGCACCTCAAATATAAATCTTAGTACACTAACTGGTGAAAAAATACCGGTACTAGGTATTATAGATTTAGATTGCTCTTTCAACAGGAAAATGTTCTGTATTACTTTTGTAATAGTTGATGTGAAATGTTCGCCAATTTTAGGCTTAAATTCTTGTCGCGTGTTAGGTCTTATAGCAGCCTACAACGGTCAGGTATTGTCTGATGTTAAGAACCAAAGTGTAAATAATATTGCTCTAGGTCAAAATATGCATAGGCCTAATGAAAGTGTACATTCTGTTAGTAGCATTTTGAATGAATATAGCTCACTTTTTGATGGTAGTATTGGTAACATTCCTACAACAGTTCATTTGTCATTAAGTGAAGATGCTAAGCCTATTATTGAACCATGTCGTAGAGTACCATTCGCTTTGTTAAATCCTTTGAAAAATGAACTTGAATTAATGGAAGCTAATGGAATTATTGTAAAAGAAAATGAACCTACAGAATGGGTTCACAGTTTAGTTTTGATAAACAAAAAAAATTCTGGACTAAAGGTAGTATTAGATCCAAGAAACCTGAATAAGTATATACAAAGAACACACTGTCAAATGCCAACTATAGATGAAGTGTCATCAAAGTTTAATAATTGTAAGATATTTTCAACTCTTGATGCAAGCAGTGCATTTTGGATGCTTAAGTTGGATAATATTAGTAGCAAGTTGTGTACGTTTAATACACCTTTTGGTAGATATAGATACCTTCGTTTGCCATATGGTATCTCAAGTGCACCGGATATATTTCATTCTACTGTATCTCAAATATTTGAAGGTATTGATGGTGTAGTCACCTACATAGATGACATTTGCATAGGTGCTCCTGATAAACAAACACATGATTTAAGATTAAAGGAAGTATTAAAAAGAGCTAAGGATTTTAATATTAAGTTTAACTCTAGGAAATGTAAATTTGCTGAGAGTGAAGTTTTGTTTTTGGGTCATCGGTTTACTGAGTATGGTTTAACTCCGGATCCTTCTAAGCTTAAAGCTGTACAGGAGATGCCAATACCTAAAGATCGTAAAGACTTAGAAAGATTTTTAGGAGTTACCAATTACTTATCAAAGTTTATTCCAAATTATTCGACTGTAACATCTCCTTTGCGAGTTCTTTCACATAAAGATGTTTTATTTCAATGGAATGCCGAACAACAAAATGCATTTTTGACTTTAAAGTCTTTGTTAGTATCTCCTCCTGTTTTATCATATTATGACCCAAGTAAGCCAATAACATTGTCTGTAGATTGTTCCTCAACTGGTTTAGGTGCTGTATTGTTATGTGGTGATAATCCAATTGCGTATGCGTCTAGAGCGCTCACTAAGACTCAGTCAAATTATTGTCAGATAGAACGAGAAATGCTAGCCATAGTTTTTGGTTGCACTAGATTTCACCAATTTATTTTCTCTAGGAAAGTAACTGTTGAAACTGATCACAAACCCTTAGAATGTTTGTTTAGGAAGCCCATTACTGCTGCTCCTTTAAGATTACAGCGAATGATGCTAAAAGTTCAACGCTATGACTTAATTGTTGTATACAAGCCAGGTAAATTGATGTATATAGCTGATACACTGTCACGTGCAGCACTTCCAGTAGAAGGTAAAGAAGATATTGATGTTTTAGATGAGGACATCATTTGTGAGGTAAATATGTTAAAATCTTATCTTCCCGTGTCTGAAAGTAAACTAAACCTGCTAAGAGAAAAAATCAGTTCAGATGAATGTCTAGGTATTTTAAAGATGTATATATCTAAAGGTTGGCCTCAAAAGCCTGAAGTCAGTAATATGGTTTTACCATTTTGGAGTATTAAACATGAT